TTGAACGACGTCTCACAACGTAACAAGCCGTTATGGTGAGTCGTAAATTCAACTGCAGGGTGGCCGTTCGGAACAATCGCCAAGAACTTGCCAACATCGCTCACTTGTTTATAAAACGCCAGTGCCTAGTAGAGCTAGAATGATAATTTTTTGAAACATTTCATGAATACAAATGGAACGGGACACTCAACAAAGCGTCTCTCTCTGACGAATAGATCAAAACCTCGGCGCACTACGTTTGCCAAGCCATGCGAATTCGAAAACACCTTGAACACTTTCAGCTTGTGCATTCAATCTTGACCAAGTCATCGTCTCGCTCAAACCGAAGAGAAATTCAAGATCAACTCGACGAGTTGATACGGCGGCACATGATGTATGAGGAAGAGCATAAATTCACGATCTTACTCTTCGATGCCCAAACGTACGTCACAACTCGTTCGTCTTTGCGCATTCTTTCGACTTAATAATGTGCCAAGACATTTGATCTTAATGAGCAATTTCCCTTAACGATTTACTCTGACCAGGAGGTTATTCCCAGTGTAGCACTCCTATGTAGAGCAGGTTCTTCTCCAGTAGTAGGGTATTCCTAGCTTTAGAATAGTCGAAACTTTCTCCATAAAGCACATTTATGACAATTAGAATTATTTTTTCGGAATGTGGGATAAAATGGATTCACTTCGAAAACATCTGTTAAATAGAGAATTAGCTGAATCTCAAGCACCAATTTAAGAACACCCACCTAAACAGAGAAGTATGTCCGGCGAGGCGGCTTGACAAACTGCGACCTCTACTTCAACCTGTTCCGTTCAACAGTAAACCATTAATTTCTCGTTGGGATAAAAACAACCCAGAGCGTTTTGTGGCCGAGAAGGCACATCCCCAAACTCATTGACCCGGAAGCCACAAAGTATATTCAGTCCTCGTCGCAATGTGTATTAATCTGGTCCATGAAAAAGGAGGTTTATAGACATATGGAGGATTTCGCAAACGATTACTTTGTCCACGAAGCAAGGTCGAACGCTATCATATGGCATGGTTTACAGTTTGGCTCTTTAGTCTAACGATAAGGCCAACTCGGCCCCACATTCTAATGAATACAGTCGCTCTTTTGTGAAGAACCCGGCATACGCACAGTAGACATTGATATCACAACCATGCCAACTGTAAATAGAGCAGAAACGATTGTAAAGCCGCTGAGCAATGCACGAGCAATGGATAAGAGTCAAACAGGACATTTTCCATTCTCATTTCAGCATTTCGATCATTAATTTGTTTTCACCTTTTTAACTCTAATCCTCAAGTTTTCGACGAAAAAGTGTAACACCTTTGCACCCAGAGTGCTGGGGTTTCCTGGAGCCCTGACGTCTGCCTAAGGGACGTTAGCCAAGGTAGCCACCCAACAACATCGCAGACTCATGTTTATCTGGCAAAGATTTGCCACCTTGTCAATTTTTCAACAATTAGACACTAGAACGGCGGTGATTTCTAGGATTAGTCTCAGGGTCTTCAAATTTTTCTTGACGTCTTCTTTGCATGGTGAAAATTAGAATAACATATCAAAGCGAAATAGAAAAGTTCTACTTACTTTTTATAATTTAGTACATATGGAAAGTCTGCGGAAGACCAGGTGGAATAATGTGACACACTTCAGTGCCTCATTTGTTCTTGCGAAGTTTATCCAATAAATGTCTCCTGGAATGTTTTTACGTCAGATCTGCGCTCCATGGCTAAGATGCACTTCATCTTGAGGATTTAAACTTGAACTTTACTCGAAAAATTTGAGTGAGAAAATCTGCCTCATTGCCCAAGTGTCTACAGAGTTCTCCAAAAAAAAAGTCAGGAGAAACTAAATTACAAACCAAACTACCGCCAAAGTCAACGATGCATTTGAGGCCACGTCGAGCTGGGCGAAGTCCTATTTGTTGGACGATTTCGCTCCTCTGACGAGAAACCAGGCGAAAAAAAGATTTCGTGAGCTTTGAAATAAAAGACTTTCGCGGGCCGCAATGGTTTCTTCCAAACGTTTAAACCAAAAAGTTAGAGTCTAGTAGTGCATTACTTTTCCTGTTACACATGAAGAAAGCTCTCATCAAAAACGTACAGAACAGCTGAAATTGTGTGCACATAAGAAGACGGAAGGAAAGAATTACTAAACTTGGCACCAAAAATAGTCCTTTCCAATAGCTACGAAGAAAAAGTCACTTGGGTTAGACCAAAAGGTAGGGTTATTCCGCAAAATAATGTTCCAAACCCGAACAAGATTCCTTTCAAGCTACCCTTCGTTTCAGACGAATTAAGCTGCGCCATACAGATGTTCTTCAGAAGAGGAGGTCTTTAAAGTTATGTGGCANNNCGCCGTCAGCTAGTTCATAACCAGGCTTCACAATCGTTTGTGCAGCTCACAAAATTGCGTAATCTGTCTTGACGGAAGGGCGGAGATTGCATGAGTTTGGGTAAAATAAACTTGATCACGTGTAAGGCGTTCGGAAACGAATACATTCGTGAAACGGTAGACCGCTCTGTGTCCGCATAAAAGAACACCTAGTCGGTAAACGTAAACCAAATACCTCACTAGGCACGCATAGGAACTAGGGACATAACGGGGAGGACTTTGAAGTACGGGTCACCATCGTCGCACGTTAATAGAGAACACAAGCGCGTAAAACTCTCGAGGCGTTCTGGATTAATTCGAAAGATCCGAAAATGAACCGCAAGGAAGAGTGCGTCACTATGACGCGTGATATTGGGCAGGATATAAGCCTGTTGTTCTGATGGGATGGGCACATTACGATTCCAAGTGAACTCTGTGCGGTTGGTCTCCACTCGACATCTCAACTCATAGAAAGCGGTGAGTGTGAAAGAAGCTATTTTATAACTCGTATGAAGTGCTGAGATATTTGCAAAACTCCGGACCGCAGGTGTATGCAGTGGGGAACGAACACGTGCTGTTGTCCTTACCGGGGAGCAGCGCACTTCACCACTACACCATCCGGGTCCTTCGCTTTGCATGTATCTCAGCTAGTTCTATCGATCTTTTTGCCATCAGCAATCACCCGTCAACGGGATTGATCTGGGGAGCCAATATCGGCATTGAACCCAGTTAAGCTGAGGCCTCGTTATAATCACAATCTTAACTCTTTTATTTACTGCCTTTTTCTTCTTAATGGCAGGGTAAGTTATTTTATGTTTAATGGGATTGAAATCTTGGCTTAATGTTTTCTCTGTTTGGTTACGGAGTTGTTTGGCTGAATGTATTGGTGTCAACTTGACCTTTCCAGGCTCTGAGGAAGACGGAATCCGCTGAAACGTCAGCTCGTCCGTGAATAAAGAATAAAATAATACCTCGCGTTTGCTCAACAAGAATATAAAGAACTATCACGACTGTCATCAAAATTATTACTAAATTAATGTTGACATTTGGAAATTTTTGACTGAAAAAATTTTGAGTTCGAGTTCGAGTCTGAGCTTGCTTCGTCCACCTTTACAGACAACAACCGATGGATGCCTTCGTTATTGCCTATGCAAACAACTCTCCTGCCGTCCTTTCCGGCGATATCGCCGATACTCTTCTCATTCCGTCTCATCGCCTTGTTGAGAGACGACGTGACGATGATGCTTCTGACTGTAATGATGCTTCTGAATCCGCTTCCTTTGAGGGTCACCGGAAGCACCGAATGCCTTCGTGCGTCGGGCAACTTTGATGTCCAACAAATCCACTGAAAGCTGGTGGTGTTCCCATTGATCTCGTCGATGAAGATTGTTGGCTTTTCATTTCAGATTATTAATCCAGATGTGATAGAACCATAATGGTGCTGAGATATTTACAACATTTTCCTTAATAATAAGTTGTTTCAAAGCACTTATTAGGCTAAGGCTTCGCCGTCTTTGTCTACTTTAAATGAAAATGCCTATGGATGGTATTCAAGCATACAGGATAAAGCACTCGGCGTTGATCAANCTTAGAGGAGACTGAATGAATATTTGGGCTTTATAATATCTCGCGGTGGTCTATCAATCTATCGATTGAGTGCTGCTACCCTCCCAGATAAGTCTGGTACCAGTTTGCCAACCCCGGAGGGATATAGGGCTTGATGGGCCTAGAGCACGCGATCGATCTCACGTGTATTGCCGGGCCCCTCTGACCACTGCGCTACACGCGCCCTACAAGCTTTAACATATATAAAATAACCTAAGACCATGGAGAAATATGTTCACAGTGGCAAAAATGTTTAAAATTATTCATACTTGCTTTATTTGTTTTGATTATTCGAATAATCGGATACTCGACTGTTTTCTACAGAACTACACATGCATTGCAATGAAATTGATTTCAATATTTTATGTTTTCATACTGCTTATTCTTTTTTTTTCATAGAAGCGTGCGACTTGAAATTTAGTCACAATGATGTTGAGATATACGCAAAACTGAGAACCTCAGATGGGCTTCGAACCCGCGACTACTGTTGCCTGTAGCTTATTTGTTAACCACTGTATCAATAAAGGCCCTCGGTTATCTTATATTCAATTAGTTTTCCTTTTGCCCTAATGGTGTCTTCAGCAATCATCAAGCAACTGAGTGAGAATGATCTGGAGAGCAGAAATTGGCTCTGAACTCAGTTTGATATCATTCCTTTCAGTGCCTCCTTGGGAAATTGATGATATCATGGGAAGAACATGCTCAGATCAAAATGCCTCTTCTACAGGTATTCGAGTTTCTTTTTTCACGGTAATCTGTTGCGTTGGGTAAAACCAGAATGATGCTGAGACATGAGCAAAATTCGGGACCTCAGGTGGCGTTCGAACCCGCAGTTTACCTTTTTTGTTCTATTTTAAATTTAATTAAAGGGAACAGGTATCGCAGCAAAAGTGATGCCGATCATTACAAACGTGGGCATGGTTTCACCTCGCCTCGTGCTCGCCATGCTTGCCATCCCTCCAGGGTCAGGAAATTCATGCCAGGCTAGTCTGTGAAAAATTCATTCCTTGAAGTTCATATGTGAATGCTCTGACTCGGTCATCTCAGGACTTCAGAATGAATTGACTACAGCCACGACTCAACTAGCGATATTTGTGACGAATGGAAATTCTTCCAGCACTAGTCGAACCAACACGCAAGAAGTTGAAAGATATTCGTGGATAGTGGGTGTGAAGAAATGTATCGAATGCCGAAAGTGCCATAATCCGCACGGTAGGTATGAAAGGACGAGTTTCTCGAAAAATGAGAAGTATTTCAATTAAATAGCCAAATGATCCAATCGATAATCGATTTGACTAAAACTTCTGTCGAAATTTGGATAAATGATTGACCCCAACTTCATTATTTTTGCCCGTTGTTTCGGTATATTGCTAATTTTTATACACGGTCCATTGGATTAGCTGTTGTGGGAGGACAGCATCGCAGTGATTAGTGGTGCATGCTACCGAAGAACAAAGTTCTGGTCCGACACCCTTCCCGGTGCTCTCCTCTAATACACATGTGGACTGCTTACCTCGGCTATTTCCAAGATTGTAAGGAGACGCGATTCTTCCTTTAGTTTCCTGGTGGTGCACACAGAAGTGGCTGTTCGAAACATGTTCGTCACAATCGCTCTCTTTGGGTGTGAAGGGTGGGAAGAAAGGAAATGGACAAGAATGTTCTTGTCACTCGGCTTTCGGTACCACTTTGTCAGGTAACTGCTACTTGATAGGTTTATTTGAACGTCCAAAAATGGAAGCCAGTTTTTTCTCGGTTTCTCCCGGGTGAACTTTATGTACTCAGACTGCTCGTTCAATAATTCAAAGCATTTGTCCATCTCCTACTGCGTAGAGAAGACGACAAAACAATCATCTACATCTCTGCAGTAGAGTAGTGGCCGGAGATCGAGAACAGGGGCTTCTATCTTAGACATAAACACAATGGCAAAGCTTGTTGCCAGTCGCTGTCCCATTGTCAACTCCCTTATTTGCGCGAACTATTTCCCATACCATCTGAAAATCGAGCAGTTTAGGCACTCCTTTAAGAGAGCCATTAGCTGCTGGATGGACAAGCCATGCATATTTATTCGTCCTTCTTGTTCAACAAAAAGGTCGAAGATGGCTTGCATTGCGGAGTCATTCGACACGTTGGTGTACAGTGCGCTAACTTCGAAAGACTCCATCAAGTACACGTTATTAGGAGACGCGTTACGTAGATGTTCTAGGAAAATTTGGGTCTTTGTGAGGTGAGCTGGAATGCAGTTAAGCAACTGGGTAAGTATCAGGCTTAAAAACCAGGTTATTCTATCCGTTGGTCCGTCTACACAGCTGATGGTCGGTCTACTACCTTAAATGATGACGGATTGGTTGACGCAAGATCATCAAGTGATACCAACTTATGTGTCTTAATAAGTAAGTATAGGACGGGGCATGTTGGTTTATCGATTTTAAAGTGCGAAATAACCGATGATTTTAAACCCGCAGCCTTTGCCACGCTGACCCATTGATTGTTTAGCTTTCGATATTGGCTTTGATATTTGTTTTCAGAGGATGGGCGATAAAGGGTAGCATCACTAAGATGTTCCTCTGTTATCTCAACATCCAGCTGGAAAGGGGTAACTACGAACTCTCCCCCTTATCACTAACAGACAATCTTATTGTTTTCGAGTTTATTAATTCTCTAATTGCTCGCATGCTAAATTTTTGTGCGGCTGTAAGGTTAGAGATAAACTTCCTGTCGCGGTAGTGATCAAGGGTCTTGAGAACGCCGTCGGAAAATATGCGGAATTTTATGTTAGCACCATCGTTAGAGTCCAACTGTCTAAAAAACGCTTTAGGGAAAGGAGATGGTGGTAGTGTCGCCGCCTATTGATTTTTATCTCTTTTTGATGTTTCTTGCTTGGCCTGATAGCGTAGTCGATCTTGAAGCTCATAAAGGTTGCATGCTATCCTACGCAGGGTCGTTTTAGAAATGGGCTGTGATGGTGCAAACCTTGGGCCCAATTCTAATAGCGAG